TATATATTCACCCGGTTTGTTTTTTAAATGTTCTTGTTTCAGCTATTTGTAATCCACCATGCATGAATGGTGGAACCTGCAAAGTAGTTGAGGGTGTTGCCACGTGTGACTGTACTAGAACTGCCTACTCCGGCACTTCCTGTGAAACTGGTATTATTGTGTTTTATTGAACTACTAATGATTAATCCAAGTGTATTTTAACCGGCTATAAATGACCTAAACTACTGTATAAACCAACCTGGTATTAATTAATTAATTTTTTTTTTAAATTCATGTACAGTGTAGGTACTGAAATATCTCAAAAAGAAGCCAGTGCTATCTTGAAAAGAAGCCCAAATGGCATCTTTGCTAGGTGGGCTTCTTTTCGAGGTTACTTTTGCAAACTAAAGAGGGGGAGGGGCCTTCCATTCGCAATGGCTTCTTCTCGAGATTAAGCCCATTGATCTTTTATTCGAGGTTACGGTGTATTATTATAGTAACCCATTTATTTACATTATGCAATACATTATACGATACAGGTTAGGCCCTATTTGGTTGATTTTCACGAAGTTTTTTTTTCTACTCGGCAAATTGGTTTCTTACCATCCAACATTCCCAACATTTTCTTTTCAAAGAGTCTAATAACAGGGTGGGGTATGCACTTTTTATTTTTTTATAGTGGCTGTACTAGTTCTAAAAACTGGCAAATTATAATCTATAATAATGTTGTTCTCCATTTCATTCTTGTTCTTTTTCCTTTTTCTCTCAGTTCAGTGCGTCATTGAATGCAACCCGAGAGGAATCTGTCAAATAAAAAAAAACTCAAAGTGTGAGTTTATAGAAAACTCGAGTGAAACTGGTGAGTGATTGAACTATTAACTGATTAAGTTTTAGTAAATCGAGTTATAACTATTGTTATTCTTATTATTCATATTATTCGTATTATCATCATCATTATAATCATTATCATTTTAAAATAATGAAAATAATATCAATTATGATAATAAGTAATAATAATGATAATAGCAATATTATTATTATTATCATCGTTATCAATTTTCCTTATTATTCATTATTATTTTTTAATGGATCCACTTAAATAATAAATCTCTTAAGACGTTCCTACCGTACCCACATTATCATTTAATTAGAATTAATGTAACATAAAGATGTTTCTTAAGAGTGATGTTGCTCTAACTGATGTGTTCTCTTACTGAATACTCAGTAGGCCTACATTCCCAAATACTAGCTTAAAAAATTGCAAATGATTCGGGTTGGAATCGAAACCACGACGGGCCCACGACCACCAGATAACTATTCAAATAACACGTCAGGTAGGACAAGCCGTCACTCCTATGATATTTTTTTTTGACTCACACAGCGAAATAAAGAGTGTGAATTTAAACCCTTGCCGTGTACAGTCTGAAAATCTGCCTTGCCTTCCCGTGTGCATTGACCGGGTACCGTTCACACTCCTTGCGCTCCCCTAGCGTCTTCTTACTGATTGCTATTGCCCTTTCCCCTTCCTGTACTAAATCGCGAATATGTTTATGCCTCTCAAACTTAATTCTTCGAGACTTCTGCAATAGGCTACGAACCAAAACAGTGCAAAGAATACGTGCGTGTTCCACAAATGCACATGTTTTTATTTACATTTACGTTGTTTTGTCGGACAATAGGGAGTTTTCGCAAGCTTAAGAAAACTCCCTTTAAATAGTACATTAATAACATGATTATTTGTCCTATTTTCATTAAAATTATTACTTCTCTCTTGTATAGAGCATACACGACAAAGACGGTTCTCTGACCACCAAGCTACTGGCGGAATTGGTCAGTTTTAATAGCTTCTGTGTCCTCGATCGTTAGTCATAATGAAGTTTAACTAATTAAACTTTAATCTTATGCTTAATTTTTTCAATTTCATTTTTTTGTATTTATGTGTAGGATTTATTTAAAAAAATAATGTTAATGTATATAATCCTAATTTATTTATTGTATAGATTTTATTTTGGAAGTCTTTTAAATTTTGCAATTTATATTCTATAGGCCTAATGTTATACGTGGCATTGTTAATATTGTACCAATTCAGTGCTTGCACTTCACCTGCAATACAAATAAACCTTGAATTTAAGTTTAATCACAACCCTATTCTAGCATAATTGGACTAACAAATCTTTTGACTTGAATACTCTGTATAAATAATAATTTAATATAGCAATGGGTTTATATTGAAAAGATACCTTTCATGGTATTGTTATACAATATTAATGTGTTTTACACTGTCCTCTAGGCAATAACCCAAACTTGAGACAGTTATTTTTTACAAAATCAATCCCATGTAACAACGTGTTGAGGTGTGGGGGCAGAGATGTTCCTGCTATAGTATCAACGACGACGACAACCGCGGTGAAGTGCTGCATCATTTGTTTGAGGAACCACCCACCTTGCACTTCGATTTCCTTCGAAAAATCAACGATGATTTGTAGAATTTGGCCTTTTTGGGGCCTCCCCGATCGTCAAAGCAGAAACACAGACTTTTATTCAATCAGCACAGAGGTAAGTGATGTATTTTGAACTCATTTATATCCATATTGTTTAACGAACAAATAAATAAATAAATAAAAAAGGAGAAAACCCCAAAAATCGACTTTAACCAAGAAACAGATCGAAAAAGATGTTACAGACATTTTACTACAAATATCCTAAAATTGATTACCTGTCAAAATAATTGGGTCTGCATACACTTATTAATAACTATTTATAGATCCATGGTCTTTGTAAAAGAATAAATATAAGGTATTATAATATCCGTATAGGCGGGGGTTTGTATTTCTCATACAGATTTTTAATTGCATATCTTGGATAAAAATACAAATTAAGCAACTCAAATATGGAATTGATTTTTACAATTAATTTTAGCTCACGACAGACAGTGAAGCTATAACTATTTGGATGTCAACAATAGATCAATCAAATTTTAATTAATGTTTTTTCTCACTAATTTCTTATCAGTTAAATTAAATTTCTAATCTGAGTGTTTTGATTCATTATCAGTATAGGGACTGCAGCCAGATCGCTGCTAATCTACCCAGAGCGACCTCTGGCACTTACCCGGTTACCGATGGAAGGGCTACTTTTCTTGTGAAGTGCGAAATCGCGAATAGTGAAGGATGGACTGTAAGTATCGTGTTACATCGCTTTGTCAGCATAAACATCACAACAGTGGATTTGACATAACACAATCCCAAAATTTAGAGTATATTGACACAGATAAGACTATGACTCTAAAGTATATGTGTAATAATACTTATAATAAAATGAATATCAATAACAATAATAATAATATTATTGCAATTGATATTTATTTTATTATAATTATTATCAACAGCAATAATAGTAATAATAACAATAATAGTAATGATAATAATTATAACAATAATATTATTAAAAATGGTGATAATATTAACAATAATGATAATGATGATGATGATAATTATGATGATGACGATAATGATAATGATGATGATTTAAATTTTAAACGACCTTTAACGAATTAATTTTGTTTGATTCTAAAGTGATGTCTATGTTTCAGGTACTATATTTAGTGTTACTTTGATTCCATTTTTGTTTTCTAACTCAAAATATGAATTTTAGGTTTTGCAGAAACGGGAAAATCATGCCTTCAACTTTAACAGAACCTGGAAGGAATATAAGGTTGGTTTTGGCAACATCAATAAGGACTATTGGATTGGCAACGACGTCATCTCCAGATTGACGGCAGAGGCAACATACAGTGTCAAAGTTCAGCTATATACAGTAGGAGGTGACTTGCTCACAGCAACCTACGATTCATTCAAAATAATGGACGAAAGTAACAACTATGAGCTGGAACTAGGATCACTTATAGAGAGCAATACAGGTATTATTTTTTACTACTATTTTTATTATTGTTATTATTATTATTATTTATCATTATTATTATTATTATTATTATTATTATTACTACTACTATTATAATTATTATTTGTTATTATTATTATCATTATCATCATCATTATTATTATTATTTTTAAATTATTATTATTATTATTATTATTATTATATAAAAGCCATTGTTTTTGTTCTAATTTCTTTTTCTTGCATATATTTTTCCTGTCTTTTTGCGTGCAATGGTTATGAGTCACACGATGTACCTCGCTATTACCATTGCAGCCATAGTTCAAGTCTCATGAATAACGTCGCAGTGAACTTGGTTTTTGTTGTTTTTTTTTTTCTTCTCACTTCATCTTTTACACTTTATTAAAATTATATTGGTTTTCCGTGTTTTTTTCTTTACTTTATACCCTTTAACGGCTTTTCTTTTGGTTGCAATTTCAACATCATTTCTCATTAAATCAATGGGGGAAAAGCCCTATGTTCTGTTGTTCAAACAGACATAGTAAGTCTAGTTATTATTATTATTATCATCATCATCATCATCATTATTATTGTTATTGATTTTATTATTATTGATGATTATGATTATGACAATTATTCTGAAATATGGATTGATATCACTTCGCGTGATCCGCCTTGCCGCTCGGCCACTCGACTTGATGATGATATTTAATGATGACGATGATGATGATCCTGATAATAATGATAATGATGGTGAATATCAATAATTTTTATTGATGAGGGTGATAATGAATAATGTGATGATGATTGAATAATCTGTAATGATTTGTTGGGTATATAAAATTATCATGTTAATAAATGTCTTTTTTTTTTTAAACTTTAGGTAACATAATCTACAGTGCACATTATAACAGTTTCTCAACTTACGACAGAGACAATGATCGGGATACGAACAATAATTGTGCCTTAAAAAATGGTGGTGGTTGGTGGTTTGGTGTATGCTCGTATTCATGCTTTTTAAATGGATTGTTCGATGCAAGCTTTAACTGTAACATTAATAGTGAAGAGCAGCTTTTGAGAAGCTCGGTGATGATGATAAAGCGTGCTGTTTAAAAGTCATTTCATTTATTTTGGGAAAACTTTGTGAAAAAAAACCAAATCAAATTTAAATTGTATAAATAATTGATAATATCAGTGTGATGAAGAATATAATTTATGAATAGAAAAATTACTGGCGTGTTGATACCAAAATGTATTGTCACGAATAATCAATACGAATGTATCAAAATTTCAATATAGCCGTATTAATATTTAAATGTTGATTGTATAAAGTATTGAATGCCCTTGAAAAAGCTATTTCATTTTAAAATAGCATGGTTATTGCAAAATTTTATAAGAGTTAACTGGATGCCAATAAACGTGAATTGAATTGAAACAATATTTTATTAGAATGTTTTGTGTTAGCCGGGTAGATCTTTAGATAGCGATAATATTTTACACAATATGTGTGTGAAACTTATTTTCAGGAAGTTCAACAATAGTCACAAAAGGAAGAACACGTTTGTATCGAAAATAGTGCCCTCAATATACATCATAACAATTAAATGCATGATTAGGTAGTCATGGATTATAAAGCTAACTCAGTTTTAAACACAGTGACACTTCAACTCAAGACATTATAACGACTTACTATTTAATGTCAGGACATTAACCAAATATTTATAAACTGATATTTTATCGCGCTGTCATGGAAAACGTAAGTCAATACTTGGATAATTTACATTAATTAGATAGCTTGGAAATGGGATTCGGTCGAACCATGGAACCGTTTACTCCCAGGTAATGGATAATCCAGTATGGTAACAGTATTGTACCAGGTAGTCTAGCTAAGGGATGGCCGGCCTCAGTTTTGCACGACATGCAGCCTGATTTTCTCGAGGGGGTGACCGGAACCTGACAAGAGCGTTGATGGGCTACGCCAGGGACCTCCCAGAACAACTGGAAACAGGAGTAGCGCCAGGATTTGCCCGACGAGGGGGGTGGGGCCGAGGTCCCCGACAGGTTTAAAGCTTGTTCTTGAGCCAATACAAATTCTTTCCTGGGATCACTCAAAATGAATAGCCTACTTCTAAAACATGTAAATGTGCATCAGTACGTTATACATATAGGCCTAACAGAACACTAAGGCCTAAGCGTGATTTTTTAAAAATAAATCCATAAATCTCAGGCCAGGATATAGAAATGTGATACTGATTGTTCAGTATGGTTTTTATTCTTTTGCAAGTTTCTTTAATAATACCGTACTACTACTAGTAATAATAATAATATTGTGATATGATGATGATGAATTTTAATAAAAGTGTCATTTCTGGCCTATTTCCTTAAATTTTCTCACCTCAGTTCCAACCATGATGGGTCTGAGGTGTGTGTTGACCCCGAGTCACAAAATGTCCTCCCCCTCCACCTTTCAAAACAGATCTGTGCCCTTCCTTTGGTATGACATTAAACTCCATCGAGTTGGCATCTGACTCAGAGTATGTCTTAGTGACTGCTGAGGCAAAGGTCCATACATTTGTGTTTAGCATGTGATCTGGTTTTTCATGCCCCTTTTTTCGTGATTATGACTATTTTGGATAAAGAATGTTTTGAGCAGAGGTGGATTCAAGGCCTGTCCCCCTCCCCTCTATTAAAAAAAAAGAAACGAAAATAGGCCTATAGGCCTATTCAAATTTAAGTGTGAGAGTGTAATTTCCGGCCATCTAGAGATGCCATAATCATAAATTTTCTTACTTCAGGCCCAAACATGGTGGGGCTGAGGTGGGTGGATCAAGTCCCTCCCTGGTTCACCTCTCTTTCGAATTCCTGGATCTGCCACTGTTGATTTATTAGACCTATATAATTATTGTTACGCTTATTTATAATGCGTCTATTGCAATTTTCACTTTATTAACTCAAAACAGTTTTAAGAAAGTTCAGAGTGCGCTGCTTCACAGGGGGATTCGCCCCTGCACCCCACCGGGGTCCTACGTAATTCGCGTAACGGCTCCCCCACTTTCAAAATCCTGGCTACGTCCCTGAATACCAGGGCTCACTGGCGGCGCCAGGATTTCCCGGACGGGGATCCAAGGTGGGCTGATGTCCTCGACGAGAAAAAAGTGGGCGTGGTTGGGCGTCGCAAAAACCTTTCGAAAGTGGTCCAGGGGACGTATCCCCCCGAAAATATGACAATTTGGGGGTTTCAAAGGCTTATCTAATCGATTTTAGATTCTATTAATATGTACAAAATAGGCCTACATATGTGTTTTTTTTCTCCCCGACGGGGGGAGGGGGAAAGGCCTCCCAGACGGTAGGGGCTGTAGTCCTGCCGCCACTGCCAGGGCTTTAGGATATGCAAATATTAGGGAGAGGCGCTATGCTGTCCGCCATGTCAACGAAATCTAGAGAAAACGCGCGGTCAGGATTCAAGAGGATAAACTCCTGGTGCATAGAAACAATGGGACTAATTTATAAAATTTTAAGCTGTTTTAACATTATACTCAAAGAACTGAAATAAATAATTTTGGTCCAGTAAGTCGTAACAGACAGTGGGAGGAAAGCAGGACGGAGCCGACAAAAAGGCTGATTTTCCGACTGAAGCAATACCATCTGATGAAAGTTAATTATTTACATAGTAGAATACTTCAACTTCTGAGGCTCTTCCACTCCCTTCCCATCTAAATAATGTGTGTGTGTGTGTGTGTGTGTGTGTGTGTGTGTGTGTGTGTATGTATGTCGCATAATGGAACAGATCTTTATATAATGATTTTAATACAAGAATTGGTAACGATATTCCTAACGGAGACCCTATATTAAATGATAATGGCACAAAACTGGTTTAGACACCCCTTGAAATTACGTTATGGCATCTAACACTACATTAAATTCAATCAACACTGTGAAAAGGGTACTAAAGTAATTAATCAAAATCTAAAGCATTGGTGGGAAAAAGATTGATCTTGCTATTGAAGAAAGGAAACAGAGTTGCAGAGCACACATACAATGGGAAAAATCTAATGGGCATACTTTAAATATGGAAAGTGGAAAATATTATTAAAAACAAAATCACCAAAATGAAATCGAAAAGTATCAAAATCGTTAATGCAGGTAGTAACACCTACGAAGAAAATTGGCAAAATTTAAGAAACTAAAAAAAAAAAAGAAAAAATATACTCACTGAATACCTAACACTGATTAAACTGCTTATATGACAAAATTGTGATTTCTGATATAATCAAAATTATTTCAAACCTTTTAGTAGCCTCAATAAAGATAAAATCCATTTATATGAAAAACTTAAGGAGGGAATCAAGAGAAATGTTCAGAAAGCAATGCTATATCACATTTTAAATAATATTAAAAATAATAATAGACGATGTCAGTAATGCTATCAAACATGCGAAATATAAAAAAACGCCAGGTAATGATAGGATTAAACACAAATTAATGAAACATATCTTTTTTGTGATTGTTCAATAATATTGTTAAAACAGGTAAAATTATGGAATAGCGGCACGATTGTGTCTATATAAATAAAAATGGAAATGTAAAGGATTTAAACAATTATTGAGAAATTACGTAATGTCATGTACAGCAAAGATATTCAATAGTATAATTACAACTAAAATTTATGATTTCTTAGAAACAAACGCTATACTTACCGAATCCAGGGAGGCTTTAGAAGCAATCACCGTTGAGAGGACAATATCTTCACTTTAAAATCTACATGTAATAATATTAGACTAATAAAAAAAAGTCACTTACCTTGCCTTCCTGGACTTTCGTAAAGGCCAACTCAGACAGCGTCGGCCGACGCAGCCCGAAGCGATTTGTTGTCGCGTCGGGTCTGTGTGAGTTGAACGCAGACGCGATGGTGTGCGTCGGGGGCAGTCGCGTAGTAGAATATTAAACGTGTTTAATATTTCTCACGACGGCTTAAGACTGTCCCCGACGATAAATCGGGTCGGGCTGCGTCGGCCGACGCTGTCTGAGTTGGCCTTAAGGCGTTTGACTCAGTATGTGATTGAGAACCATCCTACATAATACTGGTATAAGATACGATTTTTGGAAACTTATTGACAATATTGTATTAACACGTTAGATGCAACGTCAAGTTTTCTGAGTTTGAGACTGATAAATTCGAAAAAGAAGACGGGGTAAAGAAAGGCTGCCCACTTTCTTCTGTGCCAATTTGTATTTATATAAAACTTGCTAAAGCCCCTTAAAAACGACAAGTAGACCTATGTATTAGAGTATGGGAGTACACATTGGAGCTCTATTTTGGGCTGACGATTTCGCCTTAATTGCTGGTAGTGACCTAGATTTACAGTAAATGCTCGATGCAGTAAATTTTCGAATAATTGGAAACTTGATTATAATTTATGATAAAACAAAGTTAATAGGCCTATTATCAAAATGGAAAACGATAAAAAGTTAAATCTTTGTAATAGTGAAATTGCTCTTTCTAAAACATATAAATATCTAGGTGTACATATAAGTAACTCATTATATGAAAACCAACATGTTGAAGAAGCCTTTAAAAAGGAAAAACTAATTGGTTACATAAGATCAATCATAGACGAGCAAAATGATTTTAATCGTGTTATTTATGGAGATTTTCTATGGCGTACACTTGCTATACCTTGTTTAAAATGCTTGCTTAGTTTAGATTCCATGCTACACAGATATGAAAAAAATGAAAACTTAATCACAATCTTATAACCATATATACGTTAAAGGAATGTCGCAACACTCCCCCACCCCCGAACTCCCAACAGCAGCCTTGCTTGAAAATGTAGGGTGGCAACCCATCCGTATAACTCAACAATATATAAGAGTAAATTATTTATCGAGGTGGCCAAATAAAACTCCACAGGTGACCAAAAACTCATATTTAACGTTTCAATATACTTAACATGGCCTGCGGAACCGCCCCCTCCCCACTTTTTGGCAAAACATATATTATGTCTGGAGATTTTTGTATGATTGGAAAGAAATGCAAGAAAAGAAATAGGGAAGGAGGAGAGGGATGGGAAAAAGAATGTTTATCCAGTCCCCGACCGAATTACATTTTCTCGCAATTCACATTGGCGGATGGGGGGAGGGGTCATGGGTCCTGACCACTCCCTTGGGCAACAACAAAAAAGGGAAAAAAGAATTCTAGACTTACCTTTTCAGGACACGTGAGCGATTTTTATTTGTATTATTTTTTATGTTACAATAAGAAAATTAGAATTTTGAAGAACATAAAAGTAATTAAAACACACTTCAAATGTCGGGAAAGCTCATTTCCCGCCATCTAGGAATCAAAATTTTCCCGGGGAGAACCCCGGACCACCCTTTCTTTTTGGGATTTATCGATTCATGGAAAAAAGAATACGCATGCAACTACTCATTTATTTATGTATGTAGGCACACATAAAATAAAAAATATAAACATTTACCAGACCGTCTCCAAGAGGGGAAAACCTTGAATTTTGAAGAACTTAAAAAGTCATTTAAAAGAAAATTTTGTATGCAACTACTCAATATTTGTTTGTTTTTTATGTATGTATACACACATAAGGCCTATTTACTGTAATAAAAAGTGGAAAAATTTAACTGACCGTTTTCAAGATTGGAAACCTTGAATTTTGAAGAACTTAAAAGTAATTAAGACACCTCAGAAGTCGGAAAAGCTCATTTCCCGCCATTTAGGAATCAAAATTTTCCCGGGGGAGAACCCCGGATTCCCTCCCCCCTTTTTTGTTTGGAGCTTATCGATTCATTGAAAAAAGAATACGATACAACTACTATTTATGTATGTATACACACATAATGCCTATTTCCTGTAATAACAAAGGGAAAAATTTACCTGAAAAACTTTGAAAAAGTTCCGTCGGCCCTGCTTAACATTTTGTACAGAAGAGAGCATAATTTTCGGCTACGGTAAGAAATTCATTGAATAACTATAATATTAATGAATTATTTGCCCACCACAGATAATAATACATGGGTTAATACATTTAAACATAAAACAGCAATCTGTTCAATGTTAACTGGATTATTAATGCAGTTTGTAAATCATCCTTAATTATTACATTACAATAAAAGAACTATCCAAAATGAATTAAAGATTATTTTTAAAATGAAACTGATATCTATAGAAGCAGTTTAAGGTTTAAAGCAAGATCCAATACCCTCCAACTTAACGCCAAGGTGTGTAAATAATCCCACTGTAGATAAATTTTACCCTCTATGCATTACTGCGTTTGTATTATTATTACTATTGTTGATGTTGTTGTTGTTGTTGTTGTTAATATTATTATTATTATTAATATAATAATAATTATATTAATAATAATAATAATAATAATATTATTATTATTATTATTAATATAATAATAATTATATTAATAATAATAATAATATTATAATTATTATTAATATAATAATTATTATTATTATTATTATTTTATTATTATTATTATTATTATTATTATTATTATTGACCATAATTTATGAAAAAATTAATAATACAAATAATCATTAAAGTTTAACTGAAAATGGGGAAGAGGCTTTACTAACAAGTTATTCTTGCTTCTAAAATTTCCAGTGAGGTCGACTGAGGGAGGGCTTTTAGGGAACTTCTCAGATATTATGTTAGAGAAAATCTATTTTGTTCTCCAAAGGTAACATTTATAGTTCTGCTGCTTCTCTTTGTGGTTTGTGGTAGTAATTGTCCATCCACCTGGTACGCCATTCCTGAAAACCGGTGCATCAAGGTAATCATAGGCCCGGTAAATTTGGTTGACGTTCCTGACAGTAAGCTGTGCGAGAAATACACCATTGGCACAAAGGTTGCATCATATTTTTCTGTGACATCTCCAAATGACTTGGCCATACTAAATAATTTTAATCCTTGGGTATTACTCATCTACTTGGATTGGAACTACGTCGGATCAAACTACTATTATAACGATGGAGCTTTGGTTAAAATAGATGACTATTCATTAAGGGATCACACTTCAAGTGGAGAGGGTTGTGTTGGTGTTGCTGTGAACCTGTCTGGCCAATATGTGTTTGTTGGTTGCTATAATGTAGACGTTGCATACTGTTGTGAAATAAGACTTTGAAACCATGCAAGTATAAGTAACATTGTCTAATAGTAGTAGTAATAGTAGTAGTAGTAAAATAGTAGTAGTAGTACTAGTAATAATAATAATAATAATAATAATAATAATTATTATTATTATTATTATTATTATTATTATTATTATTATTATTATTATAAGTTTTTGGAATGAACCGTTACTAATTGAAAAAATATGATTAAAGATGAAGTAAATACAGTGTGAGGGCTGCTCACACTGCCAATATCTTTAATTGAAGTGGAGTTGTTGAGGTGGAGTCCAATAATTGGTAAAGCAGTCCTCATTGGCTGGTTGTTTGCACTCTTCAAATGCATTAATGTATGGGAGTTCCCATCCACTGTTAGGTGCTCGCGCATGCGTGTTGGAAAATATATCATATCAAAATATCAATATCAATATCAAACTATCAATATCAATTATTAAAAAATATCATATAAGGTGACCATATGATAAAAAGAATACGCGACAAATAAAGAATGTCTTAATCCATTACAATATTTTAGACTGTACTGTATAATCCAGTGTTACTATAATATTTTCTTAACTACTGTGTCAGGGTCAGCATGATAAAGAAAACTATTGACTCACTCAATGATGAAAATATAATTTGTCTTTCATTTGCTACGGTCTTTATATTTATATAGCGGCAATATTCAATATTACATTTTACTCTTTTTTTTTTTATAAGAACCAGTAAAATTTTGCCAAAGCTCAGTGTTCTTATTTTTTTTGACGATTTCATGCTCAAATTGTTCTTATCTTGTTCTTATATTTAAGCACTTTTCAAACATAGAGAAATATTATTTATTAGTAGCACGGTATATTAGTATATTACTGTACTGTATTATAGAGGGTATTACATAGTCACACCTACTGAAAATAAGGTACAGATATTTGATGATTAGCTCTTTTTATTTATCTATCTTCATTGTTGTTGCCGCCCCATATAATCCGCATTTAGTTTATGCGTATCATTAACGATTTATCGTAGTCACTGCTTAAATTGTTTATTCATGTTTGCTAGACTGTAAATCGTGTACTTCTTTTGTATTATTATTATTATTATTATTATTATTATTATTATTATTATTATGCATCAAGACATAGGCCAACGTACATAGAACCTAAACTCATAATATTATAGATATGCATATATCAACGAGTCTATATTATTCAGTTTATGCCATATTATGATTGTATGCCATTTATGTATTTTTCTAATACAGTTTCTAACTTCTCGTGACTACCCTCTAGTCTAGGAAAAGTAGTCGCTTGCACCAAGTCACTTGATGGCCGCTTACCAAAGGTAAAATACCAGATAAATCCATAAACTCAAAAGTGGTCGCTTAAGCTCTGTCTACACTATCAAATTTTGTGTGACAAAAAGTGTGATATGCCCATATATGGGCATGATGACATCACACCATGACCATATATAGGCATAGCATTACTATATATGGGCTTGTCACATTTTTTTGTCAAAGAAAATTTGATAGTGTGACTAGAGCTTTAGGAAAGATTAACGGTTACGAGAGTTGGGTGCTTTGGAGGAGTAACAACTACAGTGACTAGATGGACAGAGAGGTTCAATTGTATTATTTTTTAAATGTTGATTGTTAAGTATTGAATGCCTTTGAAAAAGATATTTTAATTTTGAAATAGCATGGTTATTGTAAACTGTTATCAGAGTTAACTGGATGCAATAAATGTTAATTGAATTGAAACAATATTTAGAATATTTTGTGTTTGGATCTTTAATATAGCGACAATATTAACACAATATGTCTGTGTGAAATTTTTTTTAGGAAATTCAACGATTTATACATGAAACAGAACACGTTATTACCAGAAATGGCGCCCTCAACATATTAATGATAATTTATGCTTGATTATAAAGTGGCTGACTATAAAATTAACTTAGTTTAAACAGTGGCGGATTTAGAGGGGGGCGTAAGGGGCGTACGCCCCCTCTATTTTTTGTGAAAAATAATTTTTGTAAATTGCTTTAGAAGTTACCAAGCTAAATAGTAAAAATCAATCAATAACATCTAATTAATAAAGCTGGTGCTAGAGGTTTGAGGGAGATTATCCCCCTTGTAGATACCAGGTTTGAGGGAGATTATCCCCCTCGTAGATACCAAGGGTTCTTCCCTGAAACTCTCACTCAGTTCGCTCATTCACACCCCCTCTTTCTTGAGGGGCTGGATCCGCCCCTGTTAAACACAGTGATACTTCAGCTCAAGACATGTGCGACTAAATATATTTTAATGTGAGGACATTAACCAAAGATTTATAACATTAAACACGTTTGTACAGAAAGAGCGCGCTCTCAAATAATGTCTTAATTGATCTTTGACCGAATCTTTTGAACAACAATAAACCTACCTGATCAATCAACTGTCAATTTTTTGGAATCTACTCCTAACTTACATTAGAAAATATTATCTTGGTACACTTAAGGACATTGCTATCCCCTTCCTTAATTATGCCGTATACTTTTCCGACGATTTGTAACGTCTCGAAAAGCACCCCTTCCTGCGACTGACAACAGGCGGACTGTTGGCAAGTAGCTGCTAAAGCGAGGTGGACGTCTACGAGAGATTGTTGCACAGAGGTTAAAATGTATTAATTTTGTAATGTTTGACTGTATAAACTATTTAATGCCTTTAAAAAAATATACTTAATATGTAAAATGTTAAAAGTAGGCCTATGATATGTAGGCCTATAATAAAACTGTTCAGATTTCACTTGATGTAATAAATGTGAATGGAATTGTGTTGATTTGAAACGTTAATAAAATGTTTTGTGTTGTAATATTTATGTTAGAAAAAATGAAAATTTTCACAATAACTATTTTCAGGAAATTCAACAACGTTTTATCCACAACTGAAAGAAAACCTTTGTACTGGAATTAGCGCCCTCAAAATTTATTATAATAAATAAAGGACATTAACCAAATACAGTAGACCCCTGTTAAGGGAACTTCGGGACCAAAAAAAGTGTCCCTAATAGGGGTATCCCACAATTGTCCACTAATATCAGAGGTTTTTGGCACGTTTTCATACAACGATGACGTACATTCTTTATTTAAATTATATTGACATAATAATGCGTTTACTGTAGAATTGAAATTAAAAGATACTAATAATTTGCAAAGCAACTACAATTTATTCGGGACCAAAAAAGTGTCCCTAAGGGGTGTCCCACAACTGTCCACTAATATCAGGGGGTTTTGGCACGTTTTCATACAACGATGACGTACATTCTTTATTTAAATAATATTTACATTAATATTGATATTAATTGGTGAGTGGCCGAGCGCCGTGAGAACGGAGCAGTGAAGGGCTGTTTAATACCATTATGTGACATTTCTCTTGTATAGAGCGCCCCCTCACTGTTCTGCGTCATTGCTACATGTTAAAATTTAGGTCTGAGAGTGCCATTTCCGGCCATTTAATTAGAGGTGCCCTAATCAAAAATGTTCTTAAACGGCCCCAACCATGGTGGGGCTGACTGGTGTAGACTCTCTCTGGGCCCCCTAATTTCAAATTTCTGCATCCGCCACTGAGCCATGTTATAATAAATAGTACGCTATAGAAAAGGAAACAAACGAAACGGAACCAGGACTTGTGAGAGATCAAAATCCAATCCAATTTTTGGTCCAGTTGTCATTCGGAGAGGACACAATTGGATCTGGTTTCTATCAAAATTGTACGGTCATTAGACAATCCACTGTGATAACGATTATTGAGTCTTCGGTGGAGGTGGTGGGGGGGGGGGGGATAATCAATAATCAATACTTGTATGCTAAACCAACAGATTTTTGGATTCTAGTTCGATTGTTTACGAACTTTGATGACGCAGCTTCACAAAACGTACGGACGCCCATGATGTGGGCGATTGCCTATTGCTTTACAGCAGAGGAACCAATGATAAGCGGTACACTTATGTTCAACCCCTCCTACTACGCACACAATCCCAGTGCACTCTCTAATTTTTGGGACCAGAAAAATGGGGGTGGTCTCTCGGAGTTAGTCGGTCTCCATTCAGATAGTATAATTTGTGTTCGAAGACCGAATATTGTTCGATGGTAATTAGGCCTACTTGAAAAAGAACAGTCTTAAATTATTGAGTGGTGTCTGAAAGTGATCACGAATCGAGGGTGAACTGTATTTGCTAAAGTAGGCCTCGTCACACGAGCGCGCCACCACAATTCGTGCATCATATTCAACATGTTTCTTTAACCCGCTTTAACTATTTACATATAATACTCTGTACCGTATTTATTCGAATAACCCCCAGGGCGTTTATTGCTGAGAAGCGTTTATGAGGGGGAGTTTATTACAGGGAGGCGTTTATTGTTTATTTTGATGTAAATGGATATGTATACTGAAATAATTAAACTCCCCTTAATTTCACTTTAAATATGGAACTACATCACAAAGGCTAGGCCTACGTTAAAGATGTACCGGTACTGTCCCTTGAAAATGATCAAAATCAATGTTTAAATTAACTTGCTCATTTTGCAGTAACATACAAATTATTAACTTGAGCATAGAAATTATTAAATTAAAAAAATGTGTTCCCTGATTTTTTAACTGGATAATTATAATAAAGATAATAAAACACTTCCAGTGAAGTGTTTCTATCATTTCTTCGCTGTAAAATGATGGTTTTTATGGGTGAACATTTTTTAAAAACACTAATTTCTATGTTCAAGTGGAAAATTTTTATGTTACTTCAAAATGGGCAAGTAAATTTCAAAAATGATTTTTTTTTTTTTGTTTTTTTTTTTTGCAAAGGACAGTACATCTTTAAAATGTGTATTTGCAGTTTAAATGTTTCTTGAAAACCAACCAGAAGCATGTCAGAGAACTGACCGTCTTGGGTATCAATTTATATATTATAATTTATTAACTGTAAATAGGGGCCTAAATGTTATTAAAAAAACAGTATAGTGCAGGTAGTCCCACATGGTACAATAAATAGGCTAATCCCGTGGCCTAACCAATAAGGTATAAACAGAGTACGACGCGCCCACTCGTAACCGTTTTGGATTAGTGTAATAGGGATTAACTGAATGCAATGCCGTTCGATAGCCTTGGGCCACCGTTTCTTCTTGGAACAATTCCAAACTGTCTGTCCTTGTCACTGCTTATTGATCATGGCCGTGTCAATGAAGAACAATGAAAAACTTGCCGCCCTTTTGGTTCCCTCTAAATTATTTTGACAGAAATTCAAGCGGGAATCTGTGAAGGTCTAACTTAAAACATTTTTTTTTTAACCAGGTAAAACGAAAACATTCAATATAAAAGTACTCAGCAAGTACTCAACAAAAAGCTACAGTAAAAATAAATAGATAAAAATAAAAAGCCGTATTTAATATAAAGGGGGACTTCCAACTCATTGTTTAGAAACTTCTTTAGGACGGCGGCATGCAGGTTTGAGTCACAGAATGTAATTTTTGTCCTCACGGAAACTGTAACAGGCACAATCGCCACCAAACACAAATAAACATTTCAGAAACAATTATAAATATCAATACTATATTATATTAAATACATAATAATTTAAAATATTAAAAACAATCATAGGCCTACGCTACATATATTATATATAGTAGGCCTATATTCTAAAAAATACACGTAGGAGGCCTTGTGCTACTGTTTATTGCTTTTCTGCATTCATTATGTTTAGTTGAGTTCTTTCAAAGACAACCAAAACAATCCGGTGCCGTACTGAACCAGACCAAGCCAGTGTTTGATGAGATGTTGTTTATAAATTTTATTTGCAGTTGCGTATATAAGAAGCACATAGGCATCCTTCCACTTCCCGCATATTGACAATTTGCATATGTCATTCCTCTCTCACTTCCCCCCCCCCCATTCCACATGCACCTGGCAGTCCTACAAATAATTAGCTCCTACCCCTCCCACATCCCATCAATACTGGATACTCCAATCATTAACGTATTATTTTTTTTATACCAAATTGCCTCTACCAATTCTGAGCCGATCGACAAATTATTTTGTAGTTTACAGATACGATCTTTATTAATATCGGTTTGACAAAAATCGGGAAAAATAATTCTTTGTATTTTATCATGGAAATATAGTATGACCATGGCCTGGCATGGTATGACGAAAAAATATTACAGTACTATAAATATTGTAAACGTGGAATACTGTACTCTAGGTGACCTTACTATTGCGAATCCGGTAGCCTCCCATATTAGGGAATTCCCTCACCGTATTTGGGATTCCCTCGCCATATTAGGGGATTCCCTCACCATATTTGGGGATTACTTAAGTGCGCGGGCTGAATGTTTTGTTGCCAGATCCAGACTGATCCGCTTTCTACAAGTCCTCTCGCGTGATAAAAAATGGCGGAATAATTTTGTTCGTTAGATGAAGTAGATCCATAACAAAATACTTATTAAATTGTTTTATATAGTCTTAAAATATATATTAGAAACTAAACGTAACGACAATTTTTTTAAGTAAAAAGAATTTGTGATTGATAATCAAGCCAGTCAAATGTAAACATAAGGGCATTGGGCCAAATTCGTGCGCATTGGTTTTGTGGTAAACACGATAATCCATACTGTACGTACGTATAAGCGTGTTGTTGTTATTTCAAACGGTAGTGTTTTGGTTGGGCTTTCACCAGTACGTGCGGAATGCGGTGTTTGTGCTGTTGTTAGGCTGTTGATATGTAGTTGTGTTGCTAGATTTTTACTTTACTTTAGTGATCTTTGAAAGAACATATTTTTGTTGGATTTAAATAAAAAATATTCATCGTTTTCGAGCAGTAAACGGCGTGATGATGAGAAAATATCAGCAAGTATTTGATATTATTACGAAGCGGAGGTGATAAACACTGCCTAGCGTACTCGCCATGGAGTCCTGTTTTTCAACCCCAGGCTGAACTTGCCAAATGCGTGGCTCTGAGCAGTCACTTGCTTTGCTTGAAAACCCATCGTAGTTTGTTCATCAGCTTTTATCGTAAAAATTGGCATTTCATCGTCTGTCTGTTCCCCTTCATTTTGAAAGACAATCCTCAACCTCGGCACTGGACTTCAACAGCAGCCAGTCATCAAAAAATTAACTTTTGCATAGAAATGCCTATAGAAATTCAGAATTATAGAGAGAGTTTAATTGCCAAGCAGCTTTCACATTTTCGAGAAAAAAAAGTTTCGTATACCAAGAAAAAAACCAACAAAAGCAAAATGGATTCAATTGTGGGAGTAAGTATTTTAACTACTTTACTACTAGGCCTATAGGCCTACTTTTACATTTATTTAGTGTATGTTTACGGACGAGGTACATCCTGCAAATGATTCTAGCCTAGGCTAGGCCTAATCTGATTCCTACGACCCATCCATAACTGTAGGTCAACAGAATTGTGTATAGACCAGTACACTTGGGCCTGGCACTGGGGTAACCCCCTAAGGCTAATACTTGTCTTGAAAATGTACTACTGGATTACTTTAAAGTTCACATGAGCCAATCGTGTACACTGGGGGCCAGGCTTGCAGGTTAAAATTCTTTTTTCGAAAAGACTTGTTCCACCACCAAAATGAAGGGGACCATCCCGTTCGAACCAGTGCCAATTTGCTGTAGGTTAAGGTGCCCGCTTTGCAATTTGGCTGCCCTGTAAAAAAAACCCCCAAAAAACGGGCATTTGCATGATAGTGATAATGATTCATTGGGGAGCATCTCAGTGTGTGTGGGCATGGGTAGTTCAACAACACCTTAAAATATTAGTATTGTAAATGCCGATATACAGTACTGTATGATTTATATGAAAACTGATAAAGGCCTAGTATCATATCACAATTATTCAAGAAACAAATGTACTACTATTATTACTATTAGAGAAGAGCAGTTGCAGGATGAAGAACTGACCATGTGTATAAACTTGAGAGTTCTGTAAAAGAATTTATGAAATATGAGTGCGAAAAGGCCATGCCTTTGACATGTAACATGGATTTTCCTGTTTTAACTTTAGTCACCAGTGTTCAAGTCGTTCCTAGCTGGGTCTTTCAGTGGTACCTGCTCTACCATATTATTCCAACCATTGGATCTGGTGAAGACGCGTCTCCAGTCATCTGTAATTATGGACGGGGCAAGCGGTAGTATGCTGAGGACATTCAATAATGTTGTTCGCAACGAACACATTCTTGGATTGTGGAAAGGAATGGTGCCTGTAAGCAAATTTTTTAATAAAATGTATAATATTAATGTTTCATCTAATGATAGACATCACTGTAGGAGGGAGCGCACATAAAATTGATAACATTCAAAAAATAATCAAAAATAAACAAACTTGGTTTAAATTAGGTGTACCAATACCATATTATCTTATAATGATCTGCATTGTGAAATATACAGTAAACACAATTATTCTAATTCAAATTTTCTTAAAATTGTGCAATAATCGGAAATTGCAGCTAACTCTATTGTGTTGTATGCACAAGTTACCCTTTAGATAACACCAATCATCCAATTGTGCTTACAGTATGGGTATTTATAAATATTATTATTAAACATTACGTATTAGGCCAGATATAATTAATTATTAGCTTCACATCTGGAAATCATTGAAATTATCTTCTTAGGCTTTGACAACAGTCTTTCAAAGTGTGGTTAGTTTTATTTTACATGTAAAAATTTGATGAGGGTGGGGGCATGAATCTAGTAATTCAAGTCATTAGGAAACAAGCAAATACAGCAACAAAGCATAGGAATGATTCATACACCCAACTCACAATAGAAAGTACAAGGAAATACAGCAACCAAAAAATCATGGGATTCATACAACCAACTCACAGTTGAGTACAAGTAAATAGATAAATTTATAGATGACTAATTTTAGAACAGCTTGCCTAATAAATATGCTTTGTGTACAATATCAACAGCAAGTCTGTTTTCAAAAAAATTAATGTACTGTAATATGCTGTTCAAAAGAAAATAATGATTGACATTTTTTTTGTTTATTCACAGTCCATTTCAAGAACAGTACCTGGTGTTGGCATGTACTTTTGTTGTCTTCAAATGTTGAAAAACACATTTGAGTAAGTGTAAATGATTTTTTATTTGTCATCATAATTGTAACAATTTTCATTATAGATTCCATAGTGCCTAACATACAATGTTACAAAAACTTAATCGTATTATATTCTTTTTCTCTGAAGTTGTCACAATCCCGGTCCTCTCCAGGCAATAGGTCTTGGTGTTGTCGGGCGGTGTTTTGCAGGCGCAACACTAATTCCAATCACCGTTGTAAAAACACGCTTTGAGGTAAGATTCTAGATAAAGCTCTATAATAATAGGAATTTCAAACTAAAAGAGGATGGCTTTAATAAGGCTATGTGATCAGATGGTGATAAATATTTATTTCCACTTTACAAGTATTTTTGTCTAAATGTGGGTTTTTCATGCCTAAAATAACTGCACCCACTAAGGATTCCCGAAACTAAATTTTAGCTGGTTAAATCGCCCACCTATTTAGTCCATACAGTGTTACCAGTAATGATTTTTAATAGAAGCCTGAATTAAGTTTAATTTGAAATTATCTACTTTATTATACTAGAGTAAAGTGTACAACTATCAGAGCCTTGTTGGGGCCCTCAAGAAGATTTACACAACTGAAGGTGGAAAGGGTGAGTTTACTGCTTTCAATAATTTTATGTATACAGTACAGTTGAACTTGCCTTTAACTCAAATAATTTCTAAGTTGATCTTAATATCTTACATGCCAAATTATTTTGTTTTTTATTAATTAACAATCTGTAATAAGTCAAATTTTATCTAAGTCGAACAATTTTTCAATGCCATTTTGGGTTCTACTTGTGCAAGTTCAACTGTATTATTCTAGCATAATAATATGCAGTGCTAGTCACTGTGACCTGACCAAACTTGCCTTGACCTTGGTGTGCTGACCTTTATTGTTATTACTGATTAGCATTTCTATTGACCTGAATAATAGACACAGTCATGGCAATTTTCACACATTGAAAAAGACCAGCATTCATGTAATAATAATTAATCTTGTAATTGCATAAAAGTTGAAAATTTAATTCAAAGCAAATTGAAGTTCAGAGAGGGGAAATAAGAATTAATATAAGTCATCTAAACTAATATTATAAACTCTAGGTTTCAATGCTTAAACATAAAGCACCTAAACTATACAATATTACGGAATTAGTGCAGTATGTAAACTTGTAACTCTTCAGTGTCATGTAATGTAGATAAGTAACATTTCATAGGGTTCCTTTAAAGAATATTTAATATTTACAACACATTATTTTTAATATTTATCTGGTTAAAAAGGGGGAATTTTAAGTTTGGTGACAGGCGGTACAGGCCGAAGCACTTACAATAGTGCACCCTCTCCAACCCCCTTGCAGGTCTTACAAGTGGACTGTCGGCTACTCTACTGAGAGATGCGCCGTTCTCGGGCCTCTACTTGATGTTCTACACTCAGACGAAGAAGAAAATGCCAATAGGTAAGGCAATTTTTTGTGGATTCTATATATACGGTAGTTAAAACATTGTGTTCAACACAATATTTGCTGTATTTAGTATTGAGCAACCAACCTAAAAAAAGTTAGTACATGTTCACCCTAATGAATACTTAAACCTACTTTGCACATTATTTCATATTAAGAAAGGTACCAGAAAGTGAACACAAGATATAACTTTGCACAGCAAAAACTGTATCACCACATAACTGAAGTTTGTTTATCTCCAGCTGTATGCTGTACCGCGTACGGCTGGGAATACACAGACTTGAGCGTTGCGGTAAATTGTCATCTAATTTTTATTGCAAAAATGGGCGCTGCATACGTCAGGATGCATAAAAGCTATGACGTTTTTCCTCTTAACTTCGGCTAAGCGAGAGTTCTCTCTTGTGTTTCTAATATCTTTGATTTTTATATTTAATGTAGTGATGACTATTTTTAACCTTCCTGTTGTACATTTATATTCCTATGTTCGTTTGTGAACAGAACTACTGGTATCTGGGACTGCCATTAACACGTTGACTGCCAGACCTTTTTTTACGTTTCCTTCCCATGTGCCAAAACAAGTTTACATGTACAAACATACTTTTTTGAAATTTTATCTAGTCATATATCATCAAAATGAAGTGTCTAATAAATTGGCGGGAAAATATTAGGGGGCGAGTATACTTG